TAGTGCTGGAGAGAACAGAAACCTAATGGCTGAAGGAATACCTTGGAGAGCCTGTGCCAGACAGCATTTACATGTTAGAGCACAAATGCTATAAGGTAAATAAATAAAAGTTTGCCTCCTGCCACAGTCAGAAGCAATATGGGACTCCAGAGATACCTCTTCTCTGGATCTATGGAAATAGGGCTATGTTCCTCTGCCTAGCGACTCAGCATGGACTTGAGGTCATGTGGGCTGGAATTCACAGATTTTCTGTCCTTTATTTGGGGGAGCATCTGAACCAAGGCTCTGTTGAAACTCACTTATATGTACTAATGATAGATGAGGATGCCTACAGCAGGTGAATGGTGTGAGACACTGGAATAATGTGAAGTGAGAGACCTAAGTGGTACCTGAAATCACAGTTAACTATATGGTTCTGAAAAAAGATGGATCGAACAGGTAACTACATAGAAACCAAAGGAAAAAAGAGGTGGTGTAAGCAAGTAGGTCACCTGTGCAGTATTTCTCAACAACATCTGAGTAACTTCAAGTGGAAGACAGCAGGAAGTTATAGAAATAGACCATAAATAAAAAAAAATCAAAATCAATGCAAATTCATTTAGATTGAGCAAACCATGTCCCACATGAAGTATGGCAGAAGTTTACATATGAAGAAATAAAAACACATATTAGATATTCATCCTATCACTTCTGAATTTTGCATTATTTTTATGCTTTAGAATAGAGTGGCTGGCTTTGAAAATAAAAGTCATGAAGGGAATCTTGTTTAACAGATATTAAAATTACTAAAAGCATAATGTGTTTGTCCAGGACAATCCAGATCTGTATCTATCATCTAAGCATTATTTGTTTGCAAAGGTATCTATTTGGTTACTAAATTATGTGGTTACCTTGACTAATACTTAAGACTGGGGCAAGACTAGAGAAAAGCTATGCCATACAAATTCTAGGAAATATAAGAGTATATTTGAATAAGTTGACATCTTAAATTTAAATAATTAGGAGAGGTAAGTCTTAGTGGCACTGGTACAAGTCATTGTTGAGGAAAAACAAGGATAGATACTTAAAGAAATTTTAATACACATTAATGAATTAATTTTGTCAAAAAGAAGAGAGAACCATGAAGTAATTAGAAGGAATAAAGATTAAGGGTTTATTTGATTTCAAGTTTAGTAGGAACTTTTAAACATAAAAACAAGGGAAGAAATCATAAATAAAAATATTAACTACATATATATATGTACATAAATACAAAAATAATCCTAGAAATTGCAGTAAAAATTAAATTAAACTAGGAGAGAAAATTATTTGTAACATATGATAGATGAAAGATTAACTGGCTTCCTACATTACTAACTGGGAATCATGCAGGAACTCTTAAGAGTTAAGATTAACATCAAAACAGAAAAATTAACCAACTATATGTACAATTGGCAGGAGAAAAAATTCAAGTGACCAGAAATATGTAAAAATAAATTTCGGCTAGTCTAACAATAAGTGTAAGTTAAAATGAGATATCACTTTTCACCTATCAACTTGGTAAAGGTGTTTTTATTTTAAGGATCCCACCATATTGACTAAGAATTAAAGGATATGAGTAGCACTTGTGCTGCTGGTGAGAGTACAAATTGGTAAAATCTTTGTGATGGACAATTTGCAATACAACATAGTCATTCATCCCAGAATATTTAATATTTCTAAATTGAGTAGTGCTTCACAATTGCTGTCAAGGCAGCAATAGTGGCTAAGCTGCCATTGCCTGTCCAAGTGCACCAAATTTTAAGAATGTAGGGCAATGGTTGGAAGGAAATTCTAGAGCAAAGAAAGGAGCATGTTCTTTCTTTCTTTCTTTTTTTTTTTTTTTTTTTTTTTTTTTTTTTTTTTTTTGTTGTTGTTGCTTAATGCTGCATCAAGGCGCTTCTGATGAGCACTCAGATCATGGACCACACAAAGTTGTAGAGTGACTCAGAATGAGGAAGTTTAGGAGTAAACGCCTTAACCAGGGTTTTTGCTTCTCCTTTGTGGATATACAAGAATAAAATATAAACTAATTTTATGATTAAATAAGTATAAGGAAAATTCTTTCAATAATGATAAAAGCTGAAAGTGATGAGAAAGCGTTAGGTTTCATTGTCATTTCTTTTCTTACAGATGTAAAATACATAAATAATAAAGATACATCTTATAGTTTGTGAGGTTTGGGGTATGATGAACTATGATATATCAAGAGCCTAACAATGTTCATAACATTTAATCCAGTAATTTCACTTCTATGAAGTTATCATAAAACACCAATGTTTTAATACCAATGTAAACATTTCAGTATGATTTACATAATTGAAATGTTAAAAAGATCATAAACATCTAACCAAAAAGTCTAATACGAAATTGATCAGATAAAATATCATACATCCACAGGATGGAAGATTACACAGCTATAACAATCACATTTCAAAGAAAGTAAAATAACATAGGAACATATTCATCACTCTGTTTTTAGAATACAAAACAACATAATCAATTTTTTTCCCTTTCTAAAAGCTTATGTTTATTTGTATGAGAGAAAAAGCACCACAAATAAATAATCCTATCTGTTAAATGTTATTATTTGGAGGAGGTGGGATTATGTATATTTTGTTTATTATATACTTCTCCATATATTCAAAATGTTTTGTAACAAACATGTATAAAATCGATAACTCCAAATCTTAAAATAATATTTTAAGTTATTCACAAATAATTATAAGTAAAAGAAAATGTATATAGTCTAATGGAGATATGAGGGTTTGTTAACTTTTAAATGGTCCAAGAAACCAGACTCTTAAATTGAGGTTCCTGTTTTACTCATTTTCTACTTCATTCTAATCTCATGTGGGTTCACTTGAGTATTAGTGGAGCATACCTGTGAGCTTGGCTAGTCCTCTGCCATGGACAAACACGGTCATTATTAAAGGAAAGGTCCTAAAGAAAGCAGGAAGCCAGCATTGTAAATCTTTTACACATTCTTCACCATGAGCCTTGGAGATGGCAGGATGGGTGACAGCAATTCACTACCCAGGGAAGCCAGCTCTAGAAGTCACTCAGGGTACCAGAACCCAGACAGCTTCCTTCAGACACTTCACCATTTCCCGTTGTGATGGACTTGCATCTGGAGATAATAATTGAGGTTTTCTTTGATTATCTTCCTTTGCTGCCCCTGTGACTCCTCAGCCCACCACTAATCAAGGGACAATACAAAACAAAAAGACAAACAACAGATCTTTAAAAGAAAAAGAAATAGAGCAAAGAAAGCTTATTTTCAGCTACTTGGCTCCTAACTAGGTTTTCTTAAACTCATAACAAAAATAATAATCTTAAACACCAAGATTGGTGATTTGCAAAAGGTGGGTTCTCTGGAACTTCAAAGGGCCAACTGCAGAAAGAAGCAGAACATGAACTTTCTGTCCACAAACAATCCATGAGAAGAGAACAGATGAAGAACCCGACGATTCTCCCTGGAGACCAGATAGGGTTTCCTGACTCCAGGAGGAGAATTTGGAAAAGAAACAACACTGAAAGCCAGGGGTGTGGGGTTTCTGACATCTCACCACTCCTCAGGTTAAGTTATTAGAGAATCTTAGATCCTCCCTTCAGTTCAGGAATGTAGGAACAATGTGGTGAGTTGTATTTAGAACTGTAACCTGTGCTGTTCTAGGAGAGACTTACACTTATCTGTTCATTGCTCTCAAGCCTATCCACTTGATTTGCTTTGGCCAATAATGTGTGAGATTTACTAAGCAGGTCAAGGTTCATTTTATTCTCTTTTCCCTCTACCCTGATATCAGGAATACCAGCTCCATCAGGCTGGATCCCATGGCCACGAGAGAAGAGGGTGTGGAATGGCTCCAGGGCTGACCCAGGAAGCCTAGAAAAGTGAGGAATAAACCTTTGACCACCTAAGCCACTTATATTTGGAAGCATTCAGCATAGCATAACCTAACCCATCCTAACTAACACAAAAAGAATACTGTGTCCTGACTTGCATCTGCAACTTGTATAGGAAATACTCATGCCTATGTGCTTCATGCTATGGTGCCGTGGAAATGGCAATATTGAAGTGATAACATGGCATAGCTGGACTCGGGAGGTACTCTTGAGTTTTCTATGGGCCCTGGAGTAACACAGAACAGCACTATTGTTGTCAGTTCTTTGCGGATAACAATCCAAAGAAGAGCATCAGCAGTGAGTGGGGACAGAGGCATCAGGGACAGAATCCAAAGATTAGAAGAGAGAATCACTTTTCAAAAAAAATGTATTGAATCAGAATGTTTATGACTCACCAGCTCCACCTGAGCACCCGTGTACAATAAAGTCCCTTCAAAACTTAGATGCCACAACAGGGAGAAAATGGGAAGGACAGAAGTATAAACTTAAAGTAATGGAGTCCATTGAATTTGCTGAGTTTGCCTGAAAAGAGACAAGACAAAATTCACTCTCAGTGATAAATATAGGGAATTCAAGATAGAATTTAGATTCACTTTTACAAAAATATTTAGGTTGGCCTGCCTATGTTTGCAGCCTGAGATATGTGTACATATCGCAGCATCATCAAACAACTGTGTGGTGCTGAGGGTTCACGCAGGCAAACATGAAGCTGTGTGTGGACAATGGCAACACCTTATATAATGGACTAATTTCTTCCAAACCTGATGCTCAGGCTAGGGTGAGATATCTGCCTTGCCCGAGGCAGCCAAAAAGAACCTGCTACTAGCAACACTTTCAGCTGCACAAATATTTACTCTGGTAAACTTGAAAAAGAAAAGAATTGAAATAAATCCTGCTAGAATTTTCTGCATTGTATGCACTAAACTTTTCCCCTTGTTTTGCAAAAGAAGGCTGAAATACGACACTAACATTCTCATCTCCGGGATTGATTTTTTTCAATTGGGTTTGATGGATACTGGCCAGATTAATATTTAATGTTTTTGTGTAATTTGAATAATAACACAGTGGACTAAGATACAAATGTACTATAAAAACAATCTGAGCTGTTAACTTTTAGTCCATTTAAAATTGAGGATTGATTCATTTAAAGTGGAACATCAAGAGCTAAGTAGTTTTCAGTAAATCTGTTTAATGTAATAAAGTTTGAAATTAAAAACTAATATAAAATAAAAGAGGATTCTGTAATATTATGAAGGAAGCACATTGTAATAATTATACTACTTGATTTTAAACTTGACTTTGCAGTCATTAATATTTTACTTACCACCACCAACAAAAACATGTCATTCTAAATTCTCTTGCTGTAAGATTTTTTTAGGGGCTCAAATCTTAGTTTCATCTTAATGACTTGGACGTGGTTAACTTTGATTATGTTGTATTGTGATGGTACAGGCATAGTTAGGCAAACAACTAGAGAGAAAATACAAAAATTAGTAAGAAGACTCATGTGTGTGGGAATAAACATGTAGATAAAAAAATTGTGAAAACCAAGAGAATAAAAGTAAGATATGTTGTAGGACTTATCATAAATGATTATATTAATTAAAGTACTTCACTTCTAAGACTCATTGTCAAGTTCAAAAACTTTATTACCCTCTACCATATTTACCAGCTGAATGATTTCAGCCAATTTCACTCAATCTCTACAACCACAAATAAAGTAATAGTACATACCTCCAAATGCAGTGACAATGAAAAAGAGTCATTATTATACTATAATAACTTTAAAATGAATTTATTACTAGGAAAAAAGTATGATTTTATGATGATAAAAGGCTTAACCTACCAAATAACAGACCTTCAAAATATATGAAATAAAAATTAACACAACTAAAGGGACAAATAAATCTATAATCATGATTGGAGATTTCAACATTTTTTAGTAATCGATAGGACAGGGCAGACAAAAAATAAGATTATAGAATATCTTGATAATGCTGTCAACTAATTTAATCTAATTGGAATTTATGAAACATCATCTCCATCAATTATAAAATAAATGTGTTTTTAAGTATATGTGCAACATTCACCAAGATAAGCCATATTCCAAATCACAACATGAGTTTCAATGAATCTAAGAGAACTGAAATTGTTCTCTGGCCAAAATTGTGGTAAAATTGAAGGTAATAGCAATAACAACAAAATAAAATAAAATCTATGAAATATCCCAAATAGTTGGAAATCAAGCAACACACATATAAATAACCCACAGACAAAGAAATCACAAGATAATTTAGAAACTATTTTGAACTAATAATGAAAAAATTACATATCACCAAAGCAGTGCTTAAAAGGTTGTTTATATACCTCAATGATAGTTTCTTTTGTGGAGAAGAAGCTTTTTTAGTTTGAGTTCATCCCATTTATTGATTCTTGATTTTAATTCTTGTGCTACATAAATCTTATTAAGAAAGTCTAATCCTAATCCGGGCCTAATCCAACATGATGGAAATTTGG